GGATCCGACAGGGTTCAAATCCCAGTCAACTACTAAAAATTTAAAATACTATATATACTTACCTTTTAATTCGCCGGCCTTGCTGCCATAAAATACTTACTGTTGAGGATATGAGTCTTAAAGGGTTAAGGCAGACACTTTGATCTAAAAAAAATTAATTTTCTTAAGAAAGTACCTTCTGAGAAATTAAAAAATTGCATAAATAAATTGAATTCAGAAATCAAAATATAATTTCGTGTCTAAATAAACATGGTCCTTCGCAGCCATTTAAAAGAACTGGCTTGTCGAGAATATTAAAAATAAAAATAAAGTTAAATATTAATAAAATTAAATATTAATATAAATAAAAATAATTTAGCCAAATAAACACAGCTTTGCCTATCATTTGCCGGCGCTCAAAACTCGTTCTCAAAAAACACCAAACAAAAAGTACGAAAAGGAATATCATGGATAGGCAATAGCGGTTAAACTTTCAATGCGAGTGGACCAGATTTAATAAACTGAAGAAATGTTTACGGAACAAATTAAAGATTTTGAGAAATTAAGTAAAGAAAAAGCGCTAATTTATTAAAAGACATATATACAATACATACAGGCATATTTTATAAAAAAAAAAACAAGTGCACAAAAAAGTTAATAAATGACATAAAGGTGAAAATACATTAACACAACAAAAAATTATGTTCAACGTGTATGACACAAATAAAAATAATTTAAAAGTAATAGAAGATTTATGAAAAAGTTTATAAAAAGTAATTAAATTAAAGAAAATAAAAAACATTAAAGTGTTACAAAAATAGTGTAAAAAAATAAATAAACATTTTTTTTTGGTGAAGATAGTGCATATTACATAGAAAAACGAGAGCAAGAACAGCGGTAGCCTCGAAGAAAATTAAAACTAGGAAGAAAACAAGAATATACATATACAAATTAAAATTTACGCTCTTAAAAAACAAAAATTTGTCAACACCATTTTTTTTCGAAAACAAGATTAAGATAAAATTTCAAAAAAAAAAACGATATTGAGCAAAAAGTATTAAAAGTTTAAATTCACACATACATTTTAAATAAAAGGGATAAGATGTAAATAAGTGTGCAAATGGTGAGACATTAAGTGTTTAGACATAAAATTTCAATAAAACCAAAATTGAAAGAGAAAGGATTAAAATTTTAAGCATGCACACATACATGTATTAAATTAAAATTAAAAATATAAATATATTAAGTCCCACCTACTTCAAAAGTTAATTGGACGACAAAAGCCACGGCAAAAACTACACCGTATTACCTTCATACAAGTAATATATATATGTATGTATGCTATATAGTCAAAAAAAGCTGAATAAATAAATTATTAAGTACAGGATATATTAAATTTTACATATGTGCATTTATTTTCTAAGTAAATACGAAATAATAAAGAAGCCAGACTTACATATAAAAGTCAAAAACTCACACAATTTTTCACAATTTTCTTCTCAGCAACTTAAACTTTGCTTGGTAAAAATATATATATATATATATATCGTTAGTGTGAGCGGACACATACACTCAAAGTTCCCTCTCTATAATACTCCCACAACACATTTTTTTCTCCGTTTTCAAAATTATACAAGAGGCGCAGCTTATTTGCGCAGTGGGCCTCAGTTTATTAATTCGCACACTTGAGTACAGTGTTACAAAAGTTAATAATTTTGCTCAAAAACAGTTCTATAATAATACAATAGACCTAAAATCGTATAAATCTCGATATGTTTCAATTAGATAGGTCCACCCATTCCTTTGGAATAAAAACTTTTGTTCGCAAATATGACGGAATAACATCTAGTAAATTCAGCTTCAAGCAATTTGTATTTTTTTTTAAACTAACCGACTCGAGATTTTCTGTTCAAAACGTTCAACGGACTTGGCGAGTGACCAGACAAAGATATTAATCAATGTCAAAGTACAACAATTGGACAGCAACTGGGATAGCCTCAATCTTATGATGCAATATTAATGTCAGACGCCTATCCGGGAGTGAGTGAGTCGGTCGAAAAAAATATGGAAAATGCTCCGAAAGCTACCAAAATTGCAAGACACAAATGCTGGATTCCTCTCATAACCCAATGTCTGAGGAAGTTTGCCTTAAGGTACGCTGCAGCAACCACAGTGGAAATATCAGATTACGCACCCTCAACATTAGCAGGAATCTCAAATAACTCACAAATTCAGAACAAAGCTGTCCCCAAAATATCGACTCATTTCTCTAGTAGCAACGGAACCAAATTGTTACCCACCGCGTACGTTCCAATATATTACGGAGGAGAATACCACAAAATCCGTGCGATGCATCACAGCCTCTCGAATCCAAAAAATTCTAAATTTACCCGTTAGAGAAACCCATTATAAGATTTCTGGTATAGGAGGTCTGGTCGTGCAGACTACGTCACCTAGCTGAAGGAACGCTATTGTCGTCATTCACGACCCAAGTGACAGAGACCATAAACGACACACTCAATACACTCTTGACGAAATTCTGGAAGCAGGGAGAAACCATCACGGAGCAAACCCATTTAGAAGAAGATGCGAAAACCTTTACGCAGCTACCACAACCCGATAGGAAGATGGAAGATACGTCGTCAAACTGCCTGGAAAGAATACCCAAGCTACGCGACAAATATAATGTGGTACTGAAAGAGTATTTAACACTCAAGCATATGACACCGACGGCACCCTCCGCAATAATCTGATAAGGTAAGTACTTTTCACTCTGTCTCCTCTATCATGCCGTGCCAGAACCCTCTAGCAAGACCACAAAGGTTCGAGTCATATTTAACGATCCCAAAATATCTTATACAGGAAAAGCATTGAACGCTGTGCTACATGCTTGAGCCGTATTACGAAATGATTTAATGCTTTTATTGTTAAAATGACCACTTCACAAGTTTGTCTTTAATGGCGACATTGAGAAAATTTACCACCAAATACTCGTACACAATTTCGTCAAAAAAAATCGTTAATCCAGGGTTTTAAACTTAACACAGTTACATTTGGTGTTAACTGTGCCCTTTATTTGGCATTTCGAGGTCTGCACCAACTCACAGAGGACTCCAAAAACTCATTCCCTCTAGCAAANAAACCTTCAAGTTCGCCCTTCCGATAAAATTTTTTTAATTAGTTTTCGTTTTTTAACAGTGCAGTCCTTGGCGCGGCCCATTTTTGAATATAAATATATTTATTAACTTAACACAGTTACATTTGGTGTTAACTGTGCCCTTTATTTGGCATTTCGAGGTCTGCACCAACTCACAGAGGACTCCAAAAACTCATTCCCTCTAGCAAATAATATTCTTCTACGAGAAACATAAGTAGATGTTATACTCTCTGAAGATCACGATATCCACTATCAAATTTATGTCACAGGTGATCGATGCTCTTAAGTCAGCTAGATTTCCATTAAAGAAATTTCATATATATTGATTTGTTCATCATTGCAAAGGGCTACCTATATCCAACACCCAAGGACTATCCCAAGAAGAGCTCACTGAAGCCAAGTATAGACTGATATAAACAGGTAACTCGCGATTTTGTTCTCCTGTCATAGATTTTCTTTATACTGCCCTGATTCATGCTGAAAAGCAGCTTATGACCCGCATAGTACAACACACACTTAAAACATAAGAGAAAAAAATGTGCCTTCCACTGAAAGGCATGTGCAATATATAAGCATCGGAGCAGAACCCAAATAATGACAGCCGTATCCCCGGAAAGGAACCACATTTACAGTATGAATTCACACCACTGGAGTTGACTTCGCTTGCCCCTTTCTTATTAAAACGTCACCGCATCGTGAGATCTCACAACGGAAACATCTAAGGCCGCATTCATCCTATTCACAAATCGCCGCGGCCTACCACAAAAAATTTTGTCGGACAAGGGAAAAACATTTGTGGGACCGCAGCGGTTCATGTAAAAGGATTTGGTTCAATTCCAAAGGAAGCATTTTTGGACATCGTTGAAAAATATTCTGCGTAAATTTTCTTGGAATTTTATACCACCCTTCTCTCCTCATATGGGCGGAATCTGGGAGGCAGCCATCAAGAGCTTTAAAACTCTTTTGATTAAAATTGCAGGAAATCAAAATCTCTCATTTGAAGAATTTCCCACTTTTTTAATTCGAATTGAAGGCGTATTAAATTCCAGGCCCCTGTCCCGTATGTCTCAAGATCCAACGATTTGCTACGTCTTATCCCGGGACATATTCTTCGTGGAGCTCCCATCATTGCACCACCTGATCCGGACGCCAAAGAAATTCCTATTATCAATAAATGGCAAAGCCTAAGGATTCTTCACTACCAATTTAGCGTTGGAAGAACGAATACATGCAATACCTGCATCGAGAACACAAGTGGAAAATATCACAAAAAAACATTCAATGGACAAGGTTAAAGATGACGGGCTTCGGTGGCGTTTTGGTTATCAGACGCATGGAAATAAAAAATTACACAAAGTTATCGATTCTTATGAAGTAAATATTTCATGGCACATTCGCTTCTGACACTCAAGTCGAAAAGTATCCTCAGATTATTGAAAATATTATGTTAGTTTCAAAAGTTTACAAAAAATGTGTTCGATTATCCATATGAATTTATTAGAACACTAAGATACCCTGCACCTGAGGTCGGGGTATTGGTACCAGGACGAATGCTTTACAATAGATTTTATTACTCCCGCAATATTCGTGCTAAATTCCCCATCCCATACTATTTGTTATTCCTTAACAAAAGACAGAATTCCTCCTGAGTAATTACTAGCCTTTTACTAACTTAAATTCGTGAGGTCGACTTCATGAACTTTGTTGCCTCGAACAAATGATATACCAATAGATCTATATGAAGAATGAGGCTAAATTGAAAATCTCTATTGTATAATTTTTCATCAAATATACTACTTACTGACTAACCACAAGATAACACACGCTAATTAGTAAAACTACCACAAATTATATTAGTATTTATAAATTTTAAATTATTCGCACACACAGATATTACATATATATGTTGAGAACACAACTGAAAACAATTCATTAATTTGTACTTAATACACAATTTGTATTAACCACGGAAGACTATTCACATCAGCTAGATAGTTGAGAATCCTTTTTTTTATTAAATACGCTTGTACCTGGACATTGAACGTTGACAACAGTGTGGTCTTTAGCCAGGTAAAATTCAGGGCCGTTCCGATATAAACACCAGCCTGCTGCGGAGCTACTCTAGCTTTAGTCACCTCTAACCCGCAATCGTTACTTGAATGTTTATAAAATAACTCCCCCTTTTTATTCAAATGTCGTTGTGTGAATGGAATGTCCAACTAGCAACGCTGTCATTGATATTTATGAGTTGTTTCGATCTTGTTTCCTCCGTATTTTTGCATTCACCTAAAGAAACATAATTGGTGAAAAATGAAGGCAATTAATGACTTGGAAGCAATACTTTACCGTGATTGCGGAATGGCCAACGCATTGACGGAAGCTAAAGTAAAGAAACTCCTATATTTTCCTCTGATGTGTAACTCATTTAATCGCCTGATAAATTTAAAGCGATCGTTCTTCAAAATTTCTGACATTTTCGCCCTTTTAATTTTCATTTAATGAAATATTCCAGCTTTTAACGAACATGCCGCAGCGCCTGGAATGAAGAAAATAAAATGGCTTCATTCTGGAATACTCTACTTACGTACCTCGTGGAAAATAAAATTCAATATTTAAGATGGTAGCAGTCAAAATATATCTACAAATATCAGCAAACAATGTTGTCCACCATCATTAAATTTGTTGTACGCAAAGTTTGATCTCGGAAAATAACAAGGTGTTCAGACGCAACTAAAATAACGTAAACATATATCGTTGTATCAAGTTAAGACATCCCAAATACACACATTCGCTTAATTATAAAAATTGTCCTTTCTACTCAATATTTAAAACATTTAACTTACTGATTTTCTTTCATCGACAGAGGTGTGTGTCTAGCTCACATCCCTAGAAAGTTAATTATGATCTCGTAAAAAAAATTTTTTTTTGGAGAACGATAATAATAATATGTTCATTTCTGAAAAACATTTTTTTTTTTGGAGAACAGTAAGAATAATATGTTAGTTTGTATGTTCTTAAAAGAATATCATATTTCAATAGTGTACTTAGTTGAACACTAGCACATATCCCTGAGAATTTACGTTAAATGTTCTGGTGAACGAACCACCCAACCAATTAGAGAGATTTCATGGGAACAATACCAAATTTACACATTTCTAGATCGTTATGACTCGTTTCGGCGCAATGCTACCCACAACCCTGGAGTCTCTGCAAAGGAGAGCACCCGATAAAACTCTGCCCGGTATTTCGGGCGAAAGCTCCGTAAGAAAGGTTACGTAAACCACTATTGGGAAAGTATTGTGCCAACTGCCTATCGCTAGCACGTCGGGCAGAATCATGCACGAGCGCAAGAAGTGGCAGGCGATGCCAGGGCAAGCACCACAATGCTCATTCTGACCGACGAACCAATCAACACCAAGCCTTGGAGTGTGCCGGAGGCCGAAGAGCTCGACGAAGACATCATTACTATTTATGCGTCGGAAATTGAAGAAGGAGAGGTGACATCCGGGATGAAATCGAGTCCTTTCCGTCCGGGCGTGCAACGGAGATAAGAAATCCTGGACTTTACGACCTCTACTGACTCATGAGAGATGCCGACACAGTGAAGCGGAATCATGGTCCTTCCGCCCACTACCCCAAGCAATACGACGATGTGAAGCGGAACCAAGGACTTTCCGTCCACATCAATAATCGACGTCTGCGCACCTACATCCATCATCGCCAGGGAGCTGCACCTGTAAATTGCCCGCTACACGTATGAAAGGGGCTGCATGCTGCGCTTGCGCGGAAAGCATGGTATTAACACCAGCCTAACAACACGTGCAGCAGTCATTCGAGGGTATGCCGGAGTAAGTCCCACGGCCAATGTAGAACCGGCACTCGCAGCAGCGTATACACATATGCGACTGGCAGATCCTCGTTTTTACCACGCCAATACGATTAGTACTAGGAGCCGATGTATACCCAAGTATAATACAGACGGGTACCCTACTCAACACTTTTAGCCCTTTCGTTGCCCAAAGCACTATATTTGGGTGGATACTATCAGGCTCGTGCTGATCGTAATGATTGATTGATTGATTTAAAGCCTTTTCATTAGTTTTATATGCACATGCTGGTACACAAATCCAAATAATAAGTATGAATTTTATAAAGTCGAACCGTCAACCACACCTTTCTTTTAATTTAATATTTTTCTTGGCAATCGCAATCTTTTTTTTTAACAGCTAATCAGAGTCCAACCAAAGAAGAAACTCGATCTCATAGACGTTAGGCTAGCTATCACTAGACTCATAAAAATTAAATACGTACATGTACAGATTTTAACAAACTTCTAATTTTTGTTTCGTCGGACCATAAAATAATACGGCATTTTCGGACTGGCTTATGCTTGTGTTCTTCGCCAAATATTATTATGGGTTGCACATGTCGGTGTTGAAGTAATGAAATGGTACTGGTACTGGTACTGATAAAATGTTTGGCTGCTATCGACTTGTTAATAATTGTGGACGAGTTCACGGCAAGATTAAGCTCATATTTATTTTTTTTTTTCGATTTATAAAGTGGCTCTTCTCTAACTAAAGCCACAACTTTCCTCAATTCTGACAGAGAAAGTGCTTAATTCTTTCCTATTCTTTCACGAGTTGGTGTCAACTCTTTTGCATTACTAATCAGTATGGCTGAACACCCAAGCAAATCTGCAAGAAACCTTCAAGTTCGCCCTTCCGATAAAATTTTTTTAATTAGTTTTCGTTTTTTAACAGTGCAGTCCTTGGCGCGGCCCATTTTTGAATAGAAATATATTTATTATAATATTATAAAAACGATGTATTTGCGGATATAATTCTTCCAGCATTCAAAATTAATTTACATTTTCAAGTTTGGCTTGAATTCGTTCGCATAAATTTAAATAATAAAATTAATATTTAGTTGGTCCACCCATCGATTAAATAACGGCAGCAACTCTCTTAGGCATGCTGCGTACAAGCTTTGCATTTTCGTCCGCACGTATAGCGTACCACTTATTAATTAAGTCATTCTATAAGGCAGTTTTTGATGTTATACTGTGCTCCTTAATCTTGCATTTTTAAATAGCCCACATGAGCTCAATGATATAAAGATATGGATACTATGCAGGTCAATCTAACAAAACAATGTTTTTATCTCTAAACCAACGCCTAAATTAGTATCGCCGAAAATGCGCGTTAACGAAGGCAGAAGAACAGCTTCTAATACATTTATGAACTTTTGACTGTCCATGTCCATCGTCGCAAACGAACATTTCGCCGACACCATCAGCAGCCATGCAGCCCAGATCATATTGCTACCTCCTCCATGCTTAACAGTGGGTACCACGCAATCTGGATGATATATTTCCCCAACCCGTCGCCTTACGAACGCCATATCTGTAGAAAAGAAAAAATAATGTTATCATAAGATTATGTCTTCATGGCTGTTATAATAATACTTTAAGATGATCTTAACTAAGTTTACTTCGAAGTTTGGTTCATCAGATCACAAAACATTCGACCAACCTTATTCCGTGAAATGTTGGTATCGGCCAGCCCATTCCAAACGATTTTTCCTATTTTTTTCTGAGAGCCACGGCTTCTTTTAGGCTTTCCATCCTTTTAAACCTGCTTTCAGAAGTCTTCTTCTAGCTGTTCGAGCACTAGCCTTGAGAGACTCGCGTATAAGTAATCGGTCTTCTTGTTTACTGGTAGGACGATTTCTTCCACTTTTTAATTTATTATTGCGGGATTTCGTTTCCACAAATCGCCTTATAGCACATTGGACCGCGCGTCGCGAACATCCCACCAAATTGGTAATTTCAACCTAAGACTTCCCTTTTTCACTTAGAACTTGAATTCTAACTCCATCATCGTAACTAATTTCACTTCTTTAGGCATTTCGGTATATATAAATTTTTTTAATAAAATTGGTAACTTTTCACTAAAAGTAATTTACACCTTCACTTTCAAATTTTTAATGCGAAAATATTTTATGAATTTCTTAAAAATGACAATTTTTAGATTAAGCTTACCCAGAGTGCTATGACTTTTAATATTACACAATTCATTCGTTTAATCAACAGTTAAATAGATGTGTAAGACTACTTGTATGAATACTTGTATTTTAGTGGGGTTCCTAATACTTTTGGCCAAGGCTGTACATACGAGTGCAAACAATTATTTTTTTTCGTATAAGAGGAAAAATTGCAGCAACAACGGAAAGGTTATGTGTATTAAAGATCGGTTGTCAAATTCTGCATAAATAAGTAAAATAATAAATGATAACTCTGTAAATTTATAATAAATTTAAATTTAATAAATTATTAAAGGAAAAACCCGTTTTTAATCAAATAAAAAATTGAAATTAGAACTTTTTATTTTATAATTTTGAGTCGCTCAAACGATTCCCCAAAAGAAATACCAGATATCAAATGTATAATGCATGCATTATTATGTGAGCTGTTTTGTTTCCAAAGTCCTAAAACCACAGCGTAGCTTCTGAGCAAGTAGGATTTTAAAATGGAGAAAACGTTTCAAGCAATAGTCTGCGAAAACTGAAGGATTTGCTTGTTGGAGGATATTCATTGACATCGTTTGAGAGTGCGCGGCTATCTAAAGTTTTGTTTATCTATATTATCCTAATTTATTTTCGTTTAAAGTGATAATATTAACTTAAATAACATAAAATTTAATTGTTAACTTTAAATTATTTCTGTTAAAAGTTGTTGAGCGAAAGCACTATTTATTTGGATGATTCGAATATTCTGTTATATAAAAAAGAAAAATGGAAATGACAGCTATTTCGAAAATCACCACCTCGTTCTTTTACATTCACGTATAAAGGGCAACGAATAAACAGTATTGATTGGAGAATCCAAGTCTTATGCAACCTCGTCATATATCTCGTCATTATATTAAGTAATATAACGCAAACGCTATCAAATAGAGCTGGAGTTTCAAGTGTGTAATGCAAAACTCGGAGTTTCAGTAAATATCTAAAGCGCAGAACAATGTAGTTTGTTATACTTTTGATCTTTAGAGGTATTAGAAGCCACGGCTCTAAAGGATCGCCAATAAACCAAGATTCTCTCCGCTGTTGTACAGACATATCAGTGTGCTGACCTTCCGTAGGCCGCGAATTGCTCAAAATCCAGAGTCATGTGTTGCCCCCGGGTAATTTGCGTTGAGAAAAGTGGAACATAATCGGTGTTCACATACCTCAGAAACAAAAGATTTGAAAATTAGATTGGCTAATACATACAACAAAATTTACTGCTTCGATATTGATGCTATAAAACAGTTTTCAATTTGTTTATTCACTACCTTGTTTTGATTTAGCTTTCCATTTAAAAGAAAATGCGCTTTAATATAAATATTTTGGTATGTATATATGGTTATTACTTCTGAGGTTTCTACAAATACATAATTTGTGCCAAACCGTTTTGCCGTACAGAATAGCGAGCTAGATTTTCGTTGTTTGTAAATAACAAAGTTTATTTACATTATTCTTAGTTCTATTTACTCATAGTAACGGATAAGAAGGAGGATAGGTTTGCAGGTGAGTATATTAAGGTAAGCTTCCATTTCCGTACGAAATCATGGAGAGAATTATATTTTGATTTGGGAATTCTATTTGTTTATGCAATTTTTCAATTTCTGAGAGGATACATTCTTACACATGAAGTA